AGCAAGTGTTTTTCAGTAACTTGTCCTAGAAAGCCAAACTCGGAAGAAAACCTGTAACTATCAAAGACGACTTTTTGAAAGACTTCATGAATACTTGATGCTTGCTTATTTGGGTGGCACAGTCCTCAAGGAAAAAAAAAAGTTAATACAACAGGAAAAAAGTCTCTTTTCCACTAGCTAAAAGCAGAGGAACTAACTGGTTTTCACATTTTATTGTCCTTCCGTCAGTCTCCACTAAATGCTACAATTCTATCCTCTCAGGGAAAAGTATCTGAGCAAGACACACTGTAACTTCAAGTCCAGTAAAAAGTACCCAGGTAGTCTCAAAGGAATGTATCTTCCATTTTTGTTCATCAAACAACCTGCTACAAGTAGAAATTAAGATTGGAGTTCTTCAGACAATATATACAAATTCATAAAAACCAGGAACAATTTGCAAGCTCAATGACACACAACATTATTCAGAAAAAAACAAAATTTGTTTTTTATATACAGACAGACTGGCTGCTAAGTGCTTTATTTAAATTGCTGCATGCAAATAGAGTCTATGGTGCTTTAAGGAACTCAGCTATAAACAGTTAGGCTTCTGCAATTCAGTTTAACAAGGACCTTCTAAAGTATTTGCTGAAAGATATTTGTGTTTTAGAAACAACAAAATAAAATTTGCAGTCTTAATGCCTTCTTGCTTTGTGGTATAAGAACACTTCTAGAGATGTAAATATGATAAAATCCCAGGTTAGACAGCCAGTTCACAAGGACTCAACTTAAGCATGACCCTGCTTCTTTTAAGGAAATGAAAGCAGAGAGTTAGGCCAACGTTCAGTACCTTTTAAAAATTCCATCCTTGCCACACATACTTTGCTTACAAAATAGCACCACACAGGAATAGTCACCACAAAAAAAGCAACAACAAAAAACACATTAGTCACTGCATTCATTCAGCAGCTAAATCTCCCATTCATTTAAATGACAGTTTTAGGTACTAAAAAGAGAGTTGTGACCATTAAGCTCAGTCCATGGAAAAAGGCAGAAACAGAAGTTTACTTACTGCCATTAATGAGGCATTGCCTTGTGTTTTTCTTTTGTAAAGAAGTTAACTAACAGAGAAGAATCAATACAATCCAAATACCTTAATAAACCTTGAAATATAAAATGTGAACAGGCCTGCTTTCTTGATATTCTTCTACCTTCCCAAACACCGTCTGGAACAGTTTCTATCAATTACTACATACAGTCGAAAAAATGCATTCTTGATTACATGAAAGATTGAAATTTGTAAGCTATAAAAATAATTGGGAGAAAACTGAAATAGCAATCATAAAAGAGTTGGTGTTACCATCATAAAAGAGTTGGTGTTACCATCCCAGATTAAACCTGAAAACACAGATAAATGCATTTCCACCTTCCCCCTTGTCCCTACCTTCAGCAAAGCAGGCAAAAGAGTAATTTCTGCCATAGACTAGCCGAAAGAGGTTTGCATTTGCCAAACACCTCATTTGGGGCAAAACTACTTGTGTGGCAGGCACAGTTTAAATCGTTAGTCTGAGCTATATCTAGCTGATTTTTCTGAAGCAAAATTAAAGAAGCGCTTGAACTGTACTCACGGCAGAGCTGACAACATTGCCTGACAGATAACCATTAGTAATCTCTTCCATCAGGACTGGAGGATCAGCCCAGGAGAGAGTACAACAGACAAGCTTTCCTTCTACAAAGTGCATTCTTCTGTTGAATATGAAGCCTAGCAAAAGGAAAATGCTGAAAGACATACAATATTAATACAGGAAAATTTCAGACATGGATTTTCATATATTAGGCCTTTGATTCCTTTATGAAGTTTCCATCATCTCCAAAGGGAGCTGTGCATCCTTATCCAGGTAAAAGAATATTACATACCTAGATTAAGAAAACTTACACAGACAAAGAAGAGTAGATGTTAAGCCATATGCTAAACTAAGATATTTCTAGATCATGATTCTTTGAGGTCAAAATGGACTGAAAGAAGCCATTTTTAAGTATACATCCAGTTTGATTCCTTATTTCTCCACTCTATCCCCCATTATGTCTTTCCCTGCATGTATTTTAATGGTCAGGATGAAAGCATGTTGTGTATATACAAACTAATTACATTTAACCCTGTAAAAACTAATCCAAAACTTCATCATTCTTTGTGATTTCTGTATATTTAGGCAATTCATCTTCTACACATGCAAGATACTTTTTAGAACATCGGAAAAAAAAAAAATCTTTCATATTTCATAGCTTCCCCAAAAGAGTAAGATAAAGCTGATTATATGTTGGTACACACTTTGCTGTACCTTCATAAAATCAGTTTTGGATATACAGGTTACAAGTTAAAAAAGCCAACAGTTGATCTAGGCGTTAGTTAAAATAAGTCATCTTGTGTTTGTGTTTGCAAGCCCTAGTAACAGAGGAAATGTCAAGAAACGTCTAGGGCTTCTATGAAAAATTAAGTTTCACCAAGTTTTCCCCCTTTGACACTTCCAAAATTAAAGTTGTTTCTCCTCTTTCTAACTCTGCAGCACAAGTGACCAATAATGCAAAATAGCAAAATATATATGGTCCCTCAAGTGTCTTCAGTAAATGAAACATTTTTAATCAGGACAGTAGTCTAACTTCTCCCAAGCCTTGCATATGCTAATACAGCACTTTGCCACAAAAGAGAACTTACTGTTTTATTACACCTAACCACTGCCTCCAGAGTATAAGGTCCAACAACTGTTTCACAGACAGAAATAATTTCTCTCTCAAAACCCAAAGAAAGTCTCTTTAAAGTTTTACACGATTTTTTTTTTTTTTTCTGTAATAACAGATTGACAGTCAAAGAGCCAAATCCTATGAACCGTGGAGATCTCCAAGCATGGCAAATTTAAATGCAAGTTGAGAACCTTCAGAGGACAAGGGTGTGATCACGTAGCCTACACAATTCTTTGCACAGTTGATTAGGTGTTTTGATACATTAATGCACCTGTACCACTTTCAATACCCAAGCACGCTCATGCTCTAAGATCTAATTATGAATATGGTTATGCTACAAACATGCTGTAACTAGACTGAATTAGGTAGCACATTAATAATTCACCATCTCAGTTGTTTGTTCTGGTTTGGTTGGTTTTTTGTGGTTTTCTTTGTTTTTTTTTTTTTTAAATGCTCTCATGTATGCAAGGCACAGTCAAATGTCAGTTTGACTACGGTGACAGCTGTTTTGAGAAGTTAGTGCCCTAGAACTTATTTTTTGGGGGGTGGGGAAAAAGAGATGATGCTACTCTATACACAGAGGCAAGCTTTATTCTTCCAAGGTGAGCTTCACCGCTGGGCAGGTGGCTAGTACAAGTCCAATACACAACATTTATGTTCTAAATAAAGGCTATTTTGAGGCCTCAAGCAGATACTGGCCTCATGCCAAACTCCTGAGTAGTGGTAAATTTCAGCTCAGAACCTAAAGTAGACAAGCAACCAAAGCTTTTACAAAAATTATTTTACATGGTAACATGGTCATAAGAGTCACTTTAAAACAGCACTAGTTGATTTTAATGACACCATAGCACCAGAAGTTAGCCTGTGGATTCAGAGAATTATAATATGCCTGTGTCTTTATATCCGAGAAGTTAATATTAGCAGACTATTGAAACACTGGCCTTCCAGTGCACATTGCAAAAATGTAGTATTAGCAAACTCAACTGACCCCTAGAAGTCACAACATCAACTTTTATTTTACTAGTCACATGGCAAAACAGATTTCCCTTGCCACTTTTGTGGTATACTAAGATACCTGATCTTTTTCCATTAAAAAAAACAACATAGCAATGGCTAGGCAAAATACAAACCCTACTGCTTGCCCAGTGTTTAAGTGGAAAGCATAGCCTAGGTAACTCAGCACAGTTGCCAACAGGGAAGAAATACAGCTTTTTATCCACATCTAATTAGAATGTCAAATACTGGACATAAAGAGGAAAAAAACAAACAAAAAACTCAACAGAGATGTCAAGAGATAGTTTTAAGTCATGACATTTGCTTTTAATATTTATACCTGTAGATAGAAGTAGTTGTGATCCATCAAAGACACTAATGTCTTGAAAGCCATGCAGATCCACATCCCAAAATGACATCAGCGTCCTTGTGAAGGCAAAACATATGTCACCAAGTCTGCGGCTGTCACCCGGCAGTGCAGTCTTGGAAACTATGTTCCCAAATCACATGCCCTTTTGGAGTTCTTATTTAGTAAAGGCTGCTACTGGTTCCACTTGGAGTCTTACCTGAGAAAGCAGGGAAATTCAACCCCAGAGCAAACAAAAGTCAAAGTTTGTCTGAAGCTCCCTAAGGTCTGACTTCTGTAAGTCCTTGTTTCAATGCATATGTAAATGACCTAATTCCTAGCCAGCAGCTTCATGTAAATGACAAAAGTCACTGACTTGGACACTGGTTTCATGGAATGCATCTTTGAAACACTGACCAAACTGCTCTTGCTAAAGTAAAAAGAAGTCAGAAAGGCAACTGCTTTCATCTTTCTCATCAGGCTGTATCTATACACGCACACGCTGCCTATATTGACTCCGTTTCCTCCCATACTGTTTCCTTCTCTTTTGCAAAGTAAGAACTCAATCCTGCTTTTTAGAAAAAAATTCAAACACTTAACACATTCACCGAAGTGAATTTACAGCAAACACCACCCCCAACACCCCCAATCTTCAGAATTAATTTAATGGAAGCCAGTTATTAGGATATCAGTTTTCTGTTTGAAAATAAAGTGCATAGTGACTGTCACTGAGAACTTTGCTGATTTCAGGTTAGCATAGTCAGTGTCAGTCCTCAGCAACATCAATAAAATACTAATTAAAACATAAATTGGTAACATGAGTCAAAATCCGAAACAGCACACATGAAAAATAAGTATTGTATAAACAGGAAAAAGAAAGAGAACAGAAAGTGAAACGGAATCCCTAGTCCTTTGTGGAACTATATATAGGCTCCTGTGGAGCCTACTATACAGCTATCCCAACATGCAGCATCTGAAATGAAGAATCACAGTCTGTTTGCTTCCCTTCTACTATTCCTGAATTCAGTTTGCAGCCTTCTGGTGTCTGACTGATTTCACCTCGGGCAGGGGAAGATGTATCTTGAGGGAGATCTACAGAGACACTGTCAGACGAAGAATCTTGGCTTTCTGCTGAAGCAGTGATTTGTGGCCAGCTACCCCCTGTTTCATCATTGCAGTTTGTCCCTTCATCAGCCTCTTCCAGCTGCTGAACAGATTTCAAATACTGTTCTATTAGTTTGTTGTCCTGCTCAGTACTAGAGCTGTCTTTACTTTGCCCACATTCCCCATGGTCATCCTCTATATCTGATGAATACGCTGAAACAGAATTGCCACACTGTTTGACAGTCTCCACTGAAAGAGAGCTCTCTGTTCCTTCCGTTAAACTTTTTTCAGAGCTACATAAGTCACCGGCATGAGTCTGATCAGCCATGGAAGAATGAAAACCAGAATCTGGGAACTGCAACAAAGACTTTTCCTGAAGAACATCACTAGCTGGAACTAACCAAGCAGAACTAACATCTGGTGGGGTTTCTTGCTCAAGTGTGGATGATCGAATAGGTGGTTCGGATGGACAGAAAGTACTGGCTGAAGGGATCACAGGTTGCCAAGAAGCACCTAAATTTTGTGTCACTGAAAGCTGCCATTGTTGAAGGGATTTAACCTGTAAAGTATAGAGAGAATTTCATTATAAAATGTAATTAAGAAAGTACTTTGATTTCTAGAGTATTTCTTGCAATCAGCAACATAGCTCTAATATAAAATTTAAGACCAAGTGAACTAACAAAAGGTTCGCTATACCTTTAGGGAAAATATGTTCTTCCCACTGTTAAATAATGGCTTTTAAAACTAGATGCGCAACACTGACAGGGCACACAAGCCTCCCAGTTCAAGTACCTGAAGAAAGAGGAATCTGCTCTTAAAAACAGAAAGGATGGTGAACCTTTATGAAATGACCCATGCTTAAGAAAGCAGTCAGTCTTATTGTTGGAAGAATAGCTTATTAGAACATGTATTAATAACTTTTCTACTTTAGAAATTAATTGCTCACAAGCAACATAGCTTGAACACCAGTTCATTTGCCCTGGGCGCCTAGCAGTCACATCATCCTTCACGCTCCTGCTACGTTTATTTAGCTTCCCTTGCATTTTGTCCTCCTTCTCACACCAGGCTATAATTTAGCCTTTTGTAACAAAGCCAGTGTTATTGCGCTAATACTTCTGAGTGTTATTTTATCCCAGAATACCAGTATAGCAAACAACATGGCAATTAGATTCTAATAAGCCACCCAAGTCATCACTGGAAAAAATGAACCATATTGACTATCTCTTCCAGATCTACAGTATGAAAGAATGCCTTTCAAATTCATACGTAAGCAGAAAAATAAAAGGACTAAAACTATTTACCTGGTTCCAAAGAAATCTGACAGCTTCCTCCTGTACAAGCCTCTGAATCTTATCTTCCTCTCTTTCTTTTCTTAGTCTGCAAGAACACACATCCAAATTTATGCAGTGTAAATAAGCAACATTTGGGTAACAAGATCAACAAGAATACATAAAAATGCCTACTTATATAACGGCGCTCTTGAAAGATATAACAGAGCCTAACATTAAGACATTACTGCAGTCTGGCTTGCCATCAATATCCAGCTGCTGACTTCAAATATCTTTTTCAGAGTTACATTAAGATTCTGCTTCCTTTTGCTGCAGCACATTTATTGACTTGCTAATACTTTAAGTGCCTTTTTGTAAACTGAACCCAAGCTCTTCATTTAAGTAGACGCGCTTCTTTCCCCTGCACCCCCCCCCAAAATAGCGCTTCTTCATTTCAAATTATGCTCTCCCCAGCTGATATCACTTGGATGTAGGCATGATGTGTAAGCATCGGGAGTTTCTACAGATTCACTGCAGACTCAACTTGATTCACAGAATGGGATAGTAAAGGAAAAAAGCCTGTCAGATTGCCAGTTCCCAGGCTGATCCTGAAAGATATTAACAAAATCCACAATTTATATCTTACAAATTGAGAAACTTTGATAATGCTCTCCTCCAAACATGGATTGATAGGATCAAAAAAAACAGGACCAAGCACAGAATTACATTTTAAATTTGTATCACGCAAGGCAGAGAGAGAATTCTTCTTTTCACCAGTAACGGAGGAATGACTCAATATGGACACTTCATTTACAGACTCTGTAATTGCTAGGAGGCAAGTAAAATTAAAAAAAAAGCACACTTGGCAATTTCTATTTTGGTTATGCTGTGAAACATGCCAGTCCTGCTAACAGCGGAATAGAAAAATTTATTCTAACCCAACCCACTCATAGAAGGCACTTTGAGAGTATGAAGAGCTATGTGCTTAACTGTGCTTATCTTACAGGAAGTGATCCTCTACTGTAATCACAGTTTTATATTCCCAATTCTAGGTTCTACTGTGAGTAGTTATATCAAGACCCATTTATACCTGTTCTGAAATATCCTGGAACAATGGTTATATTCATTCAGATTTGAAAATACACAGCATGACCTCAACTTACTTTTCTATTTCATCAGTTAAGCAAATGATGTGCTCCTGCATTCTGTTTAGTCGAATTTCATACCGCACTTCCTTGGCTCGGGGATGATAGTTCCTTGTGTAAAATCCTCTCCAGCAGGACTGAAGTTTGGTAGCTGCTTTAGTCATTCTTTGCAGTTCAGCTGTGCCTTGATCGACAACAGCTAATGAATCAGAACTTCCTCCTGCCATCTGGTCAGGACAGAGAGTTGTAGCTCCCGATTCAGCACCTACTGAGGTGCTGGGGTGACTATGCAGAACTTGGTCTTCAGAGGATGCTGAACAGTTGCTAGTATTAGCAGTCAGGCTAGCTGTTACTGGATCAGGAGAAGGCAACAGAATACTCTCTTTGATATTCTCTTGAGTTTCCACACTTCCTACCGCTCTGTTGGAGTGTTCTCTTGTAGCACATGAAGCTTCTTGCTTGTTAGCTGTTTCTCCTCTATTAACATCTCTCACACATTCGATCCCTGTATGGTCATCATCTTCTAGGCCCAAATTGATTCCATGTAGCTTCAGGTCTGAAGCAGGAGACACTGGAGACAAGCCTGAAGCAACTGGCATGAAAGTAGACTCTGAGGATAACAGGCTGCTGTTTAGTTTGTCTTCATCTGTCTGTACATCTTCAAGGTATAGCTCCTTATGAAAACTTCTCTCAAGAAGAAAAGTATTCTTTACTGCATAGGAATGATCATCGTTTGCACTTGGTCCAACCCAAGAATTCTTCTGGATGATGGGTTCTAGATAGGCAGAAAGCCATATTCAAAATTGTCATAGTATTTCAATAACATATCTTCTTTTGATTCACAGGGATTCACAATTTAGTTTAGATAGTTAGAAACCTGTGTGTGTTAGAAGATCTAAAATGCTAGTAATGATAAGCATTATTTCTATATAACAATAAGGACCATAACTACTTGTCATGGTAACTTCTACAAACTTTGCAAATACTGGGTATGGTAAATTGCACAAACTGCCTCCCCCTGGAGAAGTTACACTTTTACCAGATGGAACAGTCAAAGTAATAACTCTTTAGTTTATTGGATTGTGGTTTTCACCTAACAATCTTACTAGCATTTCAAGACAAAAAAAAGCATGGAATGTATTTTTAGAAAACGAAGTATAACTTCATTTGAAAATCTCAAAAAAAAAAAAAATCAATAGAATAAAATAATAACAGGGCCTTGTTCTGAAATTCTCTCCACAAAGTTACCTATGTTAAAAAAAAAAAATTATTTCCACAGGTTAAACCACAGGTGCAGATTAGCTTCTTACCACTTTCAAGAACTATCTGTGGTGGCTGAGCTGGACTGCTGTGTTCGTAAGTAACTGGCAGTGTTTTGTTGGGAGTAGAAGATGTAGGTGGTCCTTCATTTTGGTCTTGATGCATCAGCTGCCTCTGGTGGAGCCTAAGCACAGAGTTCCAACAGATTTTATATTTCTTTTAAGCTTTTTTGGTACAGAAGACATCTAAGAGAAACTATCAACTACTTCAAAGGAAACAAGTGATCAAACCATTCTAAAACAAGAGGCTAGTTATGCAGATCCCTACACCTATAAGACACTAACAGGACTACTCACAAAGTAGGATATTGCACAGACTGCTCCTGTTCCCCTTCCTCCTCCCCCTTTTTCTTTGTTTGTACATGTATTAAAAAAAAAAAATCCAACATGCAATTCTGACTACAGACTGAAAACCATGAAGCATTTCTACACACAAAGAAGGAAGGTATGCAGATATTTTTAAAGCCTCCTGCAGGATACGTTATGCTTGTATGTGTAGAGGAGTTTGAGGAATGGAGGGAGTGTCTTTTACATTTGAAAATGACTGAATCAAGGAAAGGGTATCCCTGTTACTAAAGGGACAAAATCCTAACACAAATCAACAAACATTGCCACAAACATAAAATTATCCTTTACAAACTGAGAACACACACAGCTTGTTTCAGCCCAGCTAAATTCAAAGATCATGAGGTAGAGGTCAGAAAAGTCAATTAGCCTTAAAAATCATATATGTGTGTGCATATATATATACACACACACACACACACACACACAAGGGTGGGGATTTTGCGGGCTTGGTTTTTGGGTGAGGGTTTTTTGTTTTGCTTGTTGGTTTTTTTTTTAATTTTTAGAGAGTTATATTTTGCAAGTCAACTTCCTGAATTTTCCCCAGAAACATCATGTGAATGTCAGAGCACTTAGCTGGAATGTTCAATGTCAATATGCTTCTATTGTACCTTCTCCTCTGAAATGGCCCCAAGATTTCTATAATTTCCTCCTGGAGATCAGTCTACACTGACAAAGTATGCAGTAGCTCCTTCCAGATGCTCCCAAGTTTCCAGCCTTTTGATGAGATGCCGCCCTTCTGCTTACCACAACACTTTTGTTGCCCAACTTTCTACCCACGCTAAGCCACTTATGTAGCCTGCTCCTTTAAGCTGAGTCTTCTGCTCTGACCTTTCTGCAAAAAAAGTTTGTCAATAGGTCCTGGGGAACAGGGATATGTGTATTGTTACATTTTCTGGCTTTTAATCCCAATTAGTTCACCTTTTCATGGGAGGAAAGCGTACCACGGTAACTCTCCTGATCTACTTGCACAGACCTTAGCAAAATGGCTACTGCTGGCAGAACCAGCAGACTCTATAGAGGCCTCTGCTGACAGACCCGAGGTGCCAGATACAGAGATCATCAGGAGCATCACTGGAACAGTGTCCCTCAAAGGACATTAACTTTAAAACCAAGAAAGAACACGCTAACAACAAAAAAAGTGGCTAATACACCAGTGTACCACAATAGTCTTCATTTACAATTAGAACAAAAATTAATCTACACTCCTTTTTGAGTTTTTCCTCACTTTCTCCGTGGCTAAAAAAAAAAATCTCAGTAGGTAGTTTGTTTATTTTAATCCAGTCCTAACACAAATCACCTTCAATGTCCTATGGAGCACAGACTGCAAAATATAGAGAATTTGCCCCTAGATGGCCCAGCAAGTAGGAAAATGCTCGTGCTGCTGCTGCCGCCTTACCTCTCATTCCCCTCTAGAATACATCCTGTACCTCCATTACTCTTCCTATCTCCAGCCCCCACTGCTGCTTTGAAATACTTAAAAGGAAATGTTACTGTATCTAACACATAGTAAGACATACAATTATGTTCTCAATTACATTCACTAGCAATAGAGAAACAAGAAGTTCTCACCTCTGCTTACTCAGTATTTTTTCCAGTTTGGCATCCTCTTCAGTCTGGAGACCATATGTAGATATAAGAGGACAAACAGTAGCCAAGTACTGGACTAACTGAACATGCTGCCCAGGTCGATACGATCTTCCTTTACCTTGACTGTAGAGCCATTCTGCTTTCAAACTGTTGGGAAAAGGGAAAATGGCCACCATTAATGCATGGCGTAAACCCCTTAATTCTCCTTTGATTACTGTTCTTCTAGTTGGTACCTAAGAGCTAATCTACAAATCTAACGAAAACTTGGAACATGAGCAGTGCCCAGAGGAACTGAGATTTTCATTACCAGAATAATGAATAAAGTATTCCCTCACATAAACATGGATGAAACAACACAAAAAAAAGATCTGACAAACACTCTGCAGTCTCTGCTTTATCTATGTGTAGTCTTTGAGCACTGAAAACACATTTGTGTGAATGAATTTATCAGCAAAGCTTTCACAGAAACAGAAAAACCTCACACAAACATGCAGAATAGCCAGACAGCAAGTCTCGCTGAGAGCATTCAGCAATTAAAATCTGTTTCTAATTTAAATGCTCTTCAGTCTGAGAAGATTTAATACAATATGTTCACATATAATAATACCACTAATACAGAAAACTCCATTAGCCATGAAAACAAAATTCTAGAATTCTTACAGTCAGCTTTTTGGTAACCTCCTAATATGCTATGGTGAAACAGAAACAGGAGTGGTTTGCCTTTGACTAAAAAGGCAGCTTTTTATTGTATTAATTGGGAAATATGACAGTAATGTCCTGGAATGTGTTAATATATTGGACTAGAATGTGTTTATACTGGATAATAGTTATACACTTGGACTGTTCTGATGTCAAGAACTTTAAGAAGACATCTCTACTGTCATACAGATATCATAGTGATATAATGACCGCAATGATACAGTAAGAAGTGATGTGAGCAAAGTGATATTTAACTAATTGATACAAAAAAATGCCAAATCTAGAAATGCATACGCAAATCAGACCCTTCATAAAAGAGCACATTTGAGCTTTCCCCAAGATAATAGCTTTAGTATCTGCCGATTGTGTCATTCTGCAAAGTCAAAGAGACCGTAAACTCGGAAGGGATAACAGACCATTGATAAATTGCTACCACAGTTTTTCTCTGTAAAAGTGCTACTGTGAGTTAAGTAACAAAACCAACCTTAATTTCATACTTCTACTTAAATAAACTTGTGATTTCACATAATAGTTCCAGTGTAACAGATGAAAAATTTAGCAAAAGCAATAATGTTAATTGGCCTGTATCTCATTAGCAAGGCAAACAGAATTTCAGATCATTAGTACTTTTCCATTTATTGTCACATAAAAATGCAACTTCAGGTTAGCCAAACTTTACTTCATGATTTCAGAGATTTAATGATATGATGTCACCTTTCCTTCTGAGAAATCACATATCCATCAAGAACTTTAAGGTTCAGACACCAGCTGACAATGTATGGCCTGTAGTCAAAGCCAGGGATAGAAGGTGTGGCCATCACACAAGGATTGTTCATAATTGACAACTGTTCCAATTGACAAAGAGAGGCCAGGAAAGAAACCTTGAGAAAACAAGATATATTCGTTAACTGAAGAGAACCATTAAATGCTTACAGAATGTACCGCATTTCTCTACTTACAGCTAGGTATCTCACACAAAACAACGTAATTACAAATACATTGAAAATCACATTTGCTTTTTGAACATGAACATCTTCAGAGGACCTTCTATCAACTATTGCCATTTTCCCATTAATTCTCCTGTAGGTACTGTAGCCGTTGGAAAGTATTAGCTTCTCTTAAAATCTGGGAATTGGGCTTTATGTATAGAAAGGTATAGTATTTCTATGATTCCGGTTCACTATAACAGGCATTCAGATTTTGACAAAAAAAGGGCAAGCCAAGAAGCTGAGAAACACTGTTTGAAGAAGAGAAATGTATTACCAAAATAAGATTTTTCTTCCAACATGGAAGTCCAACTGACAGTTTTGGCTGCTACTTATATTAAAAAAAAAAACCAAACCAAAAAAACCCTGTCCTGGTTTCGGCAGGGATAGAGTTAATTTCCTTCTTAGTAGCTGGTACAGTGCTTTGTTTTGGATTTAGGATGAGAACAAAGTTGATAACACACTGATGTTTAGTTGTTGCTAAGCAGTGCTTACACTAGTCAAGGACTTTTCAGCTTCCCATGCCCTGCCAGCAAGAAGCTGGGAGGGGGCACAGCCAGGACAGCTGACCCAAACTGGCCAAAAGGATATTCCACACCATATGACGTCATGCTCAGTATATAAAGCTGGGGGAAGAAGAAGGAAGGGGGGGACGTTCGGAGTGGTGGCGTTTGTCTTCCCAAGTAACCGTTACGCGTGATGGAGCCCTGCTTTCCTGGAGATGGCTGAACACCTGCCTGCCCATGGGAAGCAGTGAATGAATTCCCTGTTTTGCTTTGCTTGCGTGCGCGGCTTTTGCTTTACCTATTAAACTGTCTTTATCTCAACCCACAAGTTTTCTCACTTTTACCCTTCCGATTCTCTCCCCCATCCCACCGCGGGGGGGGGAGTGAGCAAGCAGCTGTGTGGTGCTCAGTTGCTGACTGAGGTTAAACCACAACAAACCCAAACAAAACAATAAAGACAAAAATCACGGGCAGAATATTTGTTTCTCTTATATGATGTCTGAGAAATAGATAAAATAAGACATGGGCCCAAAACCCTTGAGTTGCAACAAGTGCAATTCAAACCTCTGTTCTAAACACAGCAGCTGCAGAAACCCTCTGCAGCAGTTAATCAGCTCAGTTTTCAACCTTCAGACAGTCATGAAAAGCTCTCTATGAATTTAGTCCTCAAAGTACACTTTTGACATCCTTGAACAAATATAAAAACAAAAAATAAAAAAAGGTTTTTTTAAGGACAAATTTTAAGAAGTATCACCTAGCTTGTGCAGCTAGTGAAAAGTATAGTTATTACATATACACCATCAAAAGTTACTTCTGTCAACATGGGTCATGTCAAAGTAGGGAGCCCATTTCTTTTTTATCCAACTATCTCCTTTCAGTCTACCTAAAGATAAGATGATATCTCTTCTATATCTTACCTCATTTAAGTCTCTGATTTCATTTTCCGCCAAAGAAAGAACAGTCAGATTCTGAGGTAGGCAAACAGGGGCAGTGCGAAGTGAAGTTATAATATTTCCATGTAGCAACAGTGTCTATAAAATAGAAATATGGTGATGAAATGTATGTTTGATCAAAACCTCCATAATTTTTCTTCAGGCAATACCTGCACAATACACACAAAAGAGCTATAATTAAGGCTTTCTGGTTATCATCAAAATTATTTTTGTTTATTCCAGCAAGGGAAAACTAATTTTTATATTTTAGAGCAAAATCTTCTCATTTTAAAATGCAGAACTGAAGTATAGTCACAGTTACAAAATGTATTTGGAAACTTTTTTTTTCTCTACAGTGTTCATGCCGAAAGAGTTAACACCATGTTTTCTCCCGGTTCATGACATGGGACAAAAGAACTAAGAGCTATGAACAAGATCTCACCATGTTATCTCTATCAAAATCATTAGAGTGGTTATAGAAAAATCACTGCCTCAGTTCCCGCAACTTGAAGACAAGGAAAAGAATTCTTACATGCTTCCCTTTAGAAATTATAGTGATTAATTGAAATGCTTTAAGAGCTAGTGTTTGAATAATAATGAATGCTTTAAAAGGCAGCAATTTTCAAAGCACATTTCTTTATGCAAAGAATGTAACAAAACCAGAGATAAAATAGCATCTACCTTCAGTGACATAAGCTTGGAGAGATCGCCTAATTGAGCTATGTTATTGTCCGACAAATCAAGATGCTGAAGAGATAGACAGGAATTGATTTGTTCAATGGCCTACAAAAATAAAGAAGTCAATTACTCACAGTAACTCTTTTTTTAGTCATTAAATAAAACCAGGTATCAATAATTATAAATTATTTTGAAAGCTAAAAAACACCGGATAAGTAACGCGAAACCCAGTTTCATTTTGAAGATTATAATTCTTTTCCTATTTTGGGGACTGTTTCCCAATTCTCATTACATTTCAAAATCAAACCTTTTATTTTTCTCCTAGACAATTCTTGTCCAAAAGTTGCCCTCTTCTATTTCATAAATGAGTAGACACAACTTCAACATTTGTTCCAACCAAAACCAGAAACATATTCAGATTTCTTCGCAGCATTTTCCAAATTCCTACAACACTAGATTCTGGAAAATATATAAAGACTAAATACTTTACCTTAAGGTTATTTCCTGACAAGTTCAGCCATTCCAGGTGCACCAAATCCTTCAGCCCTTCCACATACCCAATACTATTATGGGGCAAGTTTAGCACCCGGAGTTTAGTCAGTTTTGCTACACCCATCATTCGCACCAAACGATTGTTGGCTACAGAGAGCTGCACATTGACACACAAATAAAAGAAACAGTTTTAACTATTAAATTGCAAGACAGAATAGGCTTTTATTTTTAGTGGTTAAAAATCTAATCCAACAGGAGCTACTTCAATCTATGTATTCCATTTTCAAGCAAATAACACAGACACAAAAAAAGTGCAAGAGCCAGGAAATAAGTTACTGATCAAAGAAAACAGTCTTCACAACTCACTCTGCACACTTAAGAGGAAATCTTTCTCCTAGCAATAGCTAAATAAATGACAATGAATGAGGAATCGTGTCATATGAAAAGAAAACTTTAAAATCAGAAATCATCAAATCATTGTGCAAGTCATTGCACCATTCTGGTGTAAAATCATACTTACTGTCAACATGGCAGAGGACAAAATATATTTCACATGATTCTCAAAGAAGTCCTGTGCTAACGGGACTGTAAATCACAAACTTTTTAAAGGCTAAATCCTGATTAGACATATACATGACATACATTAGACATACATGACCACCAAGCTGGCAGACTGGTGAAGGTTTGTTGTAGCAACAAACCCCTCCTCCCCTATCTCAGTTTAGCTTCTCTCTAGAAGTTATTAGGTGACTTCAAGTCTATCTGGAGGCAATTTCAGTGATAATTAACATGGACTTGTACAGCTTTGCCCGGGAGGGATTAATAGTCCGATTTTTGCAAGCACCATGCACATGCTTAACACTGTTATCACTAATACCCTAATGAGCCTAAACAGACTGTTGTTAGTATTAAAATTAAGGATAAGCACTAGCAACATCAGGGCCTACATGAATTGATATGTTAACAAGACTACATAGATCCCTCCCACTTCACATTTTTTTATTTGCTATTTCTATTTTAACCTAATCCACGTGGCTTTTTTTCTTCTTGTAAATTAAGGCTACTAATCCTCTTCCTTTGTGAAGAGTTATGAAACCCAAATGGGGAAAAGAGTCCTGTATGTATGTCTGCATGTTTACAATCACACAGAGGAAAGATAAAACAAAGTTATTCTTAAAGTTACTAAGCTCAAGTATTCAAAAGCTAACAAGTATCAAAATTTGGGTTATCAGTGACTTTTCTAAGTGTTCTTATGACCCCCTCCCATTAGGATTTATTTAGTTCATCTTTAGTTACCTAGGTAACTAGCAAAACAGCCTCCCCCACTATCAGAGCTACACTGAAAACAAAGCTTTCTATTTTAGTTGGCCATCGTTTATTTTCCTATGAAGACAGTAACTGCTAACTTACTTCAATTACATAATATGGCCTTAAAGCAGAAGTATTTTAATTAGCGCCACAGTACCATTATTTCATAGCAAATTCAAGCCAAGTAACACTAACCTGCATCAGATTCCTGCATTTCTCCAAGTGTTCCAATTTAATTATCTGGTTTTTGTCCAGAATCAGAGTGTGAGTATCAGCATCACAGGGTAAGGTTGGACCCAGTTTTTGCAATCCTTGACCTGACCAGTTGACTACCGAGCCTTTCAAGAAAAGGGAGGAAAAAAAATAAAGCAACCCCCAAAGTCACCACTTTATATACAAGAACACGTACTGAATAAGCAAAGCAAGATAAACAGATTTGTTTTATAATGCATGCAGCTAATTTGCAAATACAAATGAACTTTCTTTTCCATGTAAAACTGTCCTAGTTTCAGCTGGGATAGAGTTAATTTTCCTCTTAGCAGCTGGTACAGGGCTATGTTTTGGATTTAGCATGAGAATGCGATAACACACCGATGTTTTAGTTGTTGCTAAGCAGCGCTTACGCTAGTCAAGGACTTTTCAGCTTCCCATGCCCTGCCAGCAAGAAGCTGGGAGGGGGCACAGCCAGGACAGCTGACCCCAACTGGCCAAAGGGATATTCCATACCAT